GTATTATTATCTTTCTCTTCTATAATATTCCGTTTTCTATCAAAAGGAGGAAAAGAGAAGGGAAGCTAATGTTTCAACTTTTAAATGCTATTAAAATGATCATTACAATCAGACAAGCTCTGCCAGTATAGGCTCAGACACTCAAATGAAATCTCGATAATGATTCTACATGCAAGAGGTGGCAGGGACAGATGAAAATATCACAGCAGGAAAATCCATATCAAACCATAGTCCTTGAAAATCCATCTCAGAAGCCCTTCCATTGTCCCTCCCCCTAATCAGATTCTATGTGGAAGATGGAGCTAGAGGCATATTTTGAGAAGACATGTGGCTGGGTACCAACCATTGGCCGCCCAATTCCCTTGAATATTTAACCTATCATCCAGACTTAATACTCTATTTTCAGACTTCACCTTGACCACAGGGGGGTAAGTCGCATGAATATTCCATTTCATTTGTAACCTATCTGCAAAGGAGGCTTCTGATATGTAAAATCTAATGCGCCTGAAAAAGAGCCAACTGCTGTATTCTAGCGAGGACTCTAGGGACCTTACAGACATTTTGCTTGATTTGTAAATATTTTGTAACAGGTTACATCCCCTTGGTGTCTTATAATTTATATTTTTTACTTCTCAGAGGAAAAAAAAATTTATTGGGCCTCTTGGAACCAATTCATTCATCATCTAAACTTGATAACAGAATTTGGTCTTCGAAAGTCTTCCTTTAATCACTTTGCAGAAAACGTCACTCTAGCCAATTCTGCATTCCCAAAGTGGTTTGAAGAGCTCCAGTCCCACCAATGATAAAGGTGTTTACAAAGACAGTTATGCATCAAAAGCTTAACACTAATAAAATGCTACCAATCGCTCGCCCTAAGAGCGTCTTATCTCCACATAACTGCATCATGCGGTATAGAGGAGAGGTATTTTCCCATCTATTCCTTCATTGTGAGATAGCTTGGAAGATATGGACAAAAGTGGTCAATATGTTCTGTCTCAACAGGTTTACCCCTCTCATTGTAGCAAAATCCTTGTGGCAAGTGACAATTCTATCTTAGTTATAGAGGTTATGGCTGGCACAAAACATTAAGATTTTTTATGACCAGTATACAGCCTCTATCAGTTATAGGAAACAATGGCTTATTTGGCAACCATATAGGCCAAGGCCAACAGGAACTACTCAAACATAGTGGTTTCCAATTTTCACCAGAACTGGGAGATGTTATATTTTAAGGGCTTTTGTTTCTTCTTTTGCCTGTACAAATGTGTTTTCTTTGTCCCTTTGAGAAAGATGTCTTATTATCCGCACTTGTAATTTTTTTTTAAATAACCTCCGCATTTGTAATTTTTTTCACCCTATACTCAATAAAATTTCTTCTTCTATTAAAAAAAATTCTCACCTTTCTTCTTGGGACTTTAACTCACATTACTCTTCCAATTATAGAGCAAATAGAGATTCATTTGATACTTATAAAGAGTGTGACGATGGTAATATTGCGTCTAATGATGGCCATTCTTGTAGAGCCATAGGTATAGGAAGAGTCAAAACTAAATGTTTAATGCAATTATCAGAATCTTGGAAAATGCCTTACACATCCTAGAACTAGAAAAGAATTTGATCTCAGTTGGGCTCTTTAGGAAAGACATTGCATGGGTTTTCCACATATACCAGAAGTTGAACCCATCAAGGTTACTATGGTGTCATGGTTGTAATGAAATAGAAGCAAGTGGCAAATAATTTATACAAGTTCCATTGGAAGTATAGCATCGGTTACACTTTTGTTGTTTCATTAGAACCCGATGTAGATGGCTCTATTCTCTGGGATGTGTGTTTGAGGCTTATTAGCAAGGGAGGATGATGGAATTTTAGAAAAGGAAGCTACTGTGAGGACATTGCAAGATTGATTTTTATGACACTGCATCCTTGGCAAACAGAATAAGGTAAGCTTCAAATCTTTTCCATACAGAAGTAAGGATGCATGTGTATGAAGTCTAGCCAAGATCCCAGCAAAATGTCGACTCAAATACTTTGTAGTTTCATTGATAATTCTTCCAGAAAGGTTTAGATTCACTTCCTACATGACAAGTCTGAACTTTTCTCACAGTTAATGGAAATCCAAGGTTAAAAACAGAGAGGAAAACAAGTCAAATATGTAATTTCTGATAATGGAAGCTAGCACAAAAATAAGGGTTCTTACATTTCTGCAAGAGAGAAGGGTTCTTTGGCACTTTATTGCACCTAAAACATCATACTAAAATGGTGTTACAGAAAGAATGAATAGTATATGGTTTAAAAGGGCTAGAACTATAAGACTATGGTCTGAATTGCCTAAAACTTTTCAGCAGTAGTTAACACAGCTAGCTTTATTGTTAACAAGCACCTTAGCCAAAATTACAAGAAATGGCAACCGAAAAGGCATGGAAAAGTAAAGAGGTAGTTTATTCTACGGTTAGGATATTCGGCAAACCAGCCTATGCACATATTCCCAGTGACAAGTAGTCTAGGTTTGTGACCAAGTCAAAAAAACATATCTTGATCAGTTACCGGAAAGGAGTTAAAAGGTTATAGATTGCGAGATCCAAAGGCACCAAAGGTGATAATCAGCAGAGATTAGTCTTCAATTAGAGAATGATACTAAAGAAACATCCATTTCACAAAGATCTTCTCATGTACAAAATCACAAGGTATTGGTGGAGTTTGGTGATTAAGAAAATCATCTTAATCAACAAAACAATCAAATGATAACAATTATGACAATTGCTCTCTCATATTGAACATCTACAAGTGCGGTTCCACAACAGTTCCAGAGACAGATCTCAACACTCTCATAAGGTTCCTATGAGGTCTGGTGTGAGGATCCAACATCTTTTGCTTCATTAACTAGTTGTGAAGAATCTTGTTCTTTCCAAAAGTAGTTTCTAGTCCAAAGAAAAACAAATAGATGGAAGCTACGGCGGAAGAGGCAGAGTCTCCACACAAAAACCAAACATGAGAGTTAATGAACTTCCAAGAAAAAAGGGGGAATATGGTGCAAGTGGATATATAGCGGAAGTCTTTGGAAATAAGCTGGTAGAGAAGGATTTGGAGCTGCAAAGAAAATCCTAAGCGTGGAAGTTAAGAAAGCGAAGCTTTTGGTTCACAAAAAGATACATAGCTGAAGTCTTTGTGAGGTTTGACGTTCTTAGCACAAAAAGTTAGTCTGGTTAGTAATTTCATGGTCAATCCAAGGAAGGAATACTGGCAACATCAAATGGATTCCTTGGTATTTGAAAGGTACATCCAATTATGATATTTGTTTTTGCACCACCAATGCAGTTTCTGTTAATGGTAAATATGGACTATGCTAGTGGTTTCAATGATGAAAATCCATCACAGGACACATGTATGTTAGCAAATGCCCCAATAAATTGGATGTCAACATTGCAAAGTATTACTGCTATGTCAACAACAGAAGCAGATATATGGCAATCATAGAAGCTGCAAAAGATATGTTATGGTCGAAAGTGTTGGTTTCAAATATAGGACTAATACATTAGACTTTTCAACCATATAGCGACACTCAAACTGCAATATTTCATGAATGATTGACAACCTGAGGTGAAATCTCAATCTTGAAGGTGGGTGCGGAGGATAATGCAGCAAATATGTTGACAAAGGTTCAAATGTTGTTAGGATTTGATTCATGTTGTTTGATGTTGAAATAATTCTTGTGATGGAGGCCAAAGGTGGAGATTTGGATTTTTTCTTTATAACTTTCCTCAAAAGGAGGGTGACTATTTGTCAAGATGGAGAACGTTGAGCCGTTGCAGATATTTAGATAATTTACTTTTCATAAACAGGTGCTTGTAACAGTCTGGGGTTTTTTTCTCCGGCCAACTAGTAGTTCATGGCACCACCACCCCTTGAATAAAATGATTTGCGTGGGCTATGGGCTAAGTGCATAGCTTTTTCAGTATAGCCTTTCTCA